AAGAAAAGACAGCCACGGTAAGCTGTTTGGGTGGGAATGAAGGAAAGGCGAGGGTGGCTGTGATTTGCTATTCCTGGACCTCGTGCATTTAGCATCATTGAATGGGAGCCAGACAGGGAGAAACGCCGAATTTCCCGCCGGCTGACCTTTCAGTGGGCCGAGTTTTTTGTCTTTCCTTATAAACGGATCAGATTTCAGATTGTGACTCAGTCTGACTTCACGCAAGTTTAAATCCGGCGCAGGAAGGAAAGCGTTAACTATTCCAACATTCCGACATGCTGTACAGTTTTAGGTTGCTTGGAGGTCAAAGGTCTTTGGGGGGGAAAAAAGAATTTGGGTCACTACTGCTGGACAAATCTCCCACAGTGCAGAGTTTCCGAACACTTAAAGTACGCCCCTGTGTGGAGTTTTCTTAGTAAACCCAAGTTTTTGTTTATAGTCACAGTTTCTCACCTTAAATGGACTTGTGTGTCATCAAAGTGTTAAAACCAAGGCCGGGCAAAATGCACAATGCCAAACAAACCCAGGGGCCCGCTCTTTAAAAACATTGCTTCTACTAGTCAAAAACTGGCCACAAGGGGAGCCTTTAAATATTTCTATTTTTAAACATTAAAAATATCAAGGATTAATGGGCCCCTTTAAAAAAATGTGTGATATTATATTATATTTATTTAGAGTATGTTAATTTTCCAGGACCTTTCCAGGAGGGTTTCTTTTAAAAAAACAGGACAACACTTGCTTTTAAAAATTGTCCATATAAGTTTGCGGTTTTTGGGCAAATTGACTCTTAGTAATAAATGTAATAAAAAACTAGTCTAGTTTATTACAATTTTCCTCTAATCGTAAAATTAGTGTGGCCATAGTCTAAAAGTATCAGTACAAATCAAGTAAAATTTATATTATTTTACCGAAAATTAATCTTCTGGAAAGTTAAAGTGAAAATAACTGTGCATGTATTTATCAACCACAGCAACAAATGTGCATTTGATATTAGGCTGTATGCCAACGGAAGATGTTGAGAATTTCCGCCTATGCTCTGGAAAAAAATAGACACGATGCAAGATCACTGCAAGTCAGTTCCACTTTGCATCTGGTAAACTCGCTTTAAAGTGTCGTACAGTTCAAAGAGTTTCAAACTAAGTAGGCACACAGGTTAAATTAAAAATACCCAGGACAACATAGATTATTTGCAGGATACCAATTTCCAGGTGAAAAGTTGTCTCTAAATTTCCAGAAAAGCCTGAAATATTTGTCAAAAAAGTCTTCAGCAACAGTTAATCTATTCTTCAGATCGACTAATCGGTTACTTGAACTAATAATTTCAGCTCTAGTCTAATCACACAGAACAAATGATAATCATTTCTGCCCTCAAACTGCAGCGCTGGTGGCTTCACATGTCGTGCTGATGCCCTCGATGAGCCTGTCTGTGTCTGTGTGTTCACGTGGTTTCCTCTGCCTTTGTGTGTTTACACCGGCTCTTCTGCTGAGTGGAAACATTATTGTGTGTGTCTGTCTGTGTGTGTCTGTGTGTGTGTAGGCCACTGCGTTTTGCCTGTTCAGTACAGTTTTAACTCTTGCCCACTGAATGGCACATTGTAAAGAAAAAGCCCAGGCATTAGGCAGCCCTATTAACAAACCTGTGACATCACTACTGGACATTGGAGCCCTGTTCTCCACATAATAGAACTATTGAAGCCCCTCCACTACCACCACTGTCCGTGGCACACCAGACTCTGGCAGTAAACCCATGTGCGAAAGCCGTCACCTGTTGCAGCTTAGTGTCTGGCCTGAATGTGAAGCCTGTGGGCGTGTTAGAGGCATCAGTTATTGGTCCCGGGAGGCCGTGGGGAGGCCGAGATAGAGACAGAGTGAGAGACAGAAAGAGAGTGTGTGTGAGAGAGAGAGAGTGTGTCCTTGACATGCTTGGCGCTTGGCACCTGGCCAGAGGGAAAAAATAAACTGTACCTGACCAGCTGTGTCATACAGTCCCAGCAAGTACTGCTTTCCACCGACGTTGACACTCACTGCAAGAAGATGACAAAGAGCAGTTGAGAGGAGGAAGGAGAGAGAGGGAGTGAGGGAGGGAGGGGAGTCAGGGTCCCCAACCCCTCTCTGCTATGAAGAAGGCAAACAAGTGGTTTTGATTATAGCAACAGATGCAAGCCAATGCAGTTGGAGACAGAGAGGCAGAGGGAAACAGCTCAGGAAACGTTACAATCAGACTCTCTAATCTGAGAACTGATTACCAAACAGCAGCAGTTCAACATGTCAGGCTGTTATTAATAGCTGCTGCTGATAGACAGAAGAGAGAGATTGTGCTCCTACCTGCATAATGATCAAAGACTGTGGGCACATACTCCTCTGGAAAGGCGTCATTGGCATAGCTCATCAGAAGACACGTTTTGCCCACTGCACCGTCTCCGACCACGACGCATTTTAACATGATAGTACCGGTTCCGTTAGCCATGATCCCGACCTTACCATCATCATCACCGGCCCCCCGACGCCCTGTTGTCCTGACCTCCTCCTCCTCCTGCTGCTGCCGCTGCTGCTGCTGCTGGGCGGTGATCCCCGCGCGGCGGGCATCACCAGCGTCGGAGGCGGACTGCGCGGCGCACCGAGTCGGACTGGAACTGCATCTTTCTCCCCTCCTCCCCACCACCGGCTACGGTGCTCCCAAATTTGGCCGTGAAGGAGTTTCCTTTTATTAACTGCACCCACCCTCCCACTCAAAAGTCCTAACAGGTCTTAAACGGGTACTCTCCGATCAGGAAACCGTGTTTTCTGCGAGAAGTACCGTCGCTGCCACTCCGCTGCCGCTGCCCGCTCCGTCGTGCCCGTTCCCCGGTGAGCCCCACGCCTGTGCTCCCGCTGCCTGGCGCACTGTGCTGCTGCTGCTGCTGCTGGACAAGGTGGGTGCGCTTGCTGGAGAGGCGGAGCTTGGGTTTGAAACCAAGGGGCTCTCGATAAAGTGCACTCCGCCTGGTGGGGGGGTGTGGACCAAGGAGTGTAAGAAATTACATCATAAATATTAGGGAGAGTTTACACAGACATGGTGCCTGTTTTTGGTCTTTAACAGGGATATTAGAGGGGCGTTATGGGTAACCACACATGAAATTACAAAACATACTGAAGTATAAAGTTGCCAATAAGTACACACACCATTCACTCTTCACTAATAATGATAATTAATTATTTATTTTAATTGCTGAAATTAATTTCTTATTAAAAACACATAAATATCAGCAATAAAAGCACACACACACTTATATATATACGCTGTTTATATCCACTGACATCATGCACATAAAAATACCTGCACAAAGACATTTATCCCAGCATCCTTTGCACTATTGTTTTACTGTCTACAAATGTTATTGGTGTTGTTTATGTGTACATTAATCTGTATATAGTAGTTTATATCTGTTTTGTTGAGCTTGTCCTGTTTATTTATGCTTATTCTGTATATTAGAGTCAAATTCATTGTATGTTCATACCTGGCCATACAGGAAAAGTCTATGAACGTCATATTAAAACAGGGTGTAACATCTTAAGCCCACTACCACTCAGTCCCGAAAAATATTCTATTATATAAAATATAAAATATTATATTGATTTCCCTTTGTCTAGACATCTGTTCTACAGTCTGTAACATGTAAGAACCAACAACACACTCAGCTCACACTGAAGTGCTGTAACTTAACTCTTCATCATCATAAACATTTAAGGAAGGTAGTGTGTGTTGTTAACATGACTTTGTGGTTAATAAGATAAAGAGATGATCACTGATACTGTGCTACTGTGTGTTGCTGTGTTGTGTGTGCTTAGTGTGCTGTGTGGTTAGGAATGCGCGCAACTGTGAGGGAGCTGCAGATGGAGACGCCACAGGAAAGAAGGAGGGGAGATACAGAGATTTGACCTCTGCAGTGCCATTGGCCAGGTGTGGGCTGTCTCCTTGGATCAGTGCACACATAACTATCTTAATAAAGCACTACGAATGGAGAGGAAGGAGCATGCACACACACACATTGTTATTTTCATGTGTCACTTTCTCTCTCTGCTCTCCGGGGGACAAATGGTCTTAACGGGAGCGACCAAAGCACCAGGGGGTCCCGAAGTCAGTTTACATAGTCATAGTTATAAAAAATGTAATGAAACCCCCTGAGAAGAATCTTTCTTTAAAAAACGGTTCAACAAGTGACATCACATGAGAGTTTGGTTTGTCTAGATGATAAATTCGGTGTCTAAGTCACAGAATATCTTGGTAGCTTCATCTAAATTTGATAAATTTGTTAGAAATGTGCGGCCCTGAATCAGTCAGCATTAAAACATCATGTTACATTACTGATGATAATCAACTGAGTCACAGCTGACAGGAAACTGGGCTTTACTATTACTGACAGCTGATTCTGTGAAAATAAAGACACCAGTAACAGCAGGCAAAGGGCCAAATGAAAAAGTAGAATAACAGCAACTGAACTTACACACAATAAATAAATGGAGGAATAAATAATAAATGATTGTGAAACTAATTAATCTAATTTCACCCACTTGCTGAATGCTGTCGTATAATTAATTCTATGTTTTAACACCAATTTCAGCACAGTCACACTGTTAACACTCTGCTTCTCTTTACTCAGCCTTTCTCTCTGTTTCCTGGTTGAAACTGAACTCTATAGGCTGATCTCTTGGTTGATGGTCCCTAGACGCTGCGAGCCGTCCAATCAGCTGCAGGGGGCGGGGCCGAGGATTCTCCTGCTATCATCACATTTGACAGCTGCTGCAGCAGCTCACATGACCAAACAACAATTACCTCATACATGTAGTACTCCTGCTGAAGGTGTTGCATTGGAGACATTGCTCCCTGCCGGCTGGGCAGCAACAAGGGGGTGGGGAAGGGGGCTGTCAGCTGAAATGACAAAACTCAGCCTGCTGGGATGATGTCTGATGGATGCACCTTGCACTGATAGATACTATAAGAACATCAATTACTGTTATTTTACTCCCACAATGGCGTGTCGATAGATAAAAGAGGTGCAGTCAGTGAGGATCACAAAGCAAACAACTACCAATCTGCTGAATATCCTCAAAACTTTATATCTACAGTAATATTTTACTGCCCTTCATAACATGTACATCGGTTTAATACTAGACCATGAATCTGTATCAGTGTCAACTCCATCACTGTACTCAGGCTGGGTTCAAGTTCTATAAGTTCTATAATAATTCCATACAGGGACATTGATGTATGTATTTATATTGATAAATAAAACTTGGTCCAATGCTTTGGTTTATCTATCAAACAGCTTGGTTTTATTTTTATGAGCTTTACAGATTCACAGACCAGCTTGCATCTCTATACACTCTTTATGATGTTTATGATCATCCAACCAAAAGAACCCATCAAAAATGAGACAGTTTGCTAAAAAGTGTATCGCTTAAACCATTAAATAATGAGCAATAAACCATGAAATGGACTTCATCTAAATCACACAACAAACAGAGCCCTTTGTCTTATTTCTAAATCTTACTTTCATTTTGATACTCAGGTCCTTAAAAATGAGTTTCTGATGTCACCTTGTATAGTGTTCACGCAGTGTATCAGGTTTATTAGGTTTCTATAGCGTAGCTTTGGCGTATACCAGAAGACGTTGCTGCCTGGGAGTTCATTAGCTAGCTGCTGACCTTATTTCCCATGTGGATGACATTTAATATCAACTGTCTATTTCTGTGTGGAGCTAAGTTTAAAGGTGGAGGCTTCAATAAAATATATTGGTCTGCAGCATTCTGCATCTCGGCATATTCACCTGTAAACAATAAATGTAAACACAATGAATGACCGCACGCTTTGTATATTCTCAACAGAGACATTTGAATGGAAATAAAACTGTGTTTATGTGTATTTTATTCACGTTGAATGAACATGAATGAAAATAAACATATTCAACAGTATAGTATTACATCAGTCTATTTGCAGAGGACTGCAGTCTGGCTAGAAAGTGGTTTGCTGTTCTATTTTAAGAAAGGCAAACAAATGCAAGAGCTCTTCACTCCCATGTCTCCTATCCAGTTTCCAGATACTATCTTCTAGATCTTGGAGTACGCGCGTATGAGCACGCACACACACTTCCTCCCTGTCACTGACATCAATCACAGTCTGGACGTGTGAAGCGAGAGGGTGAGGTGGTGGACGGGAGAGAGTGGCGCAGAGCAATCACAAAGCGCTCAGATGAGCTCCTAAATTAGAGCGTGTGGCCAGCGTGGACTCCCTGGGAGGGTTTGGTTAAATTACAGGCCATATTTTTAGTGAAGGCTAGGCTTCATCCCTGGAAGTGCCAGCAGCTGAGGACCATCACTCACACGCCTGTCTGCCTCCAGTTTGTTCAACACCAGAGCTGTTAACACTTGTGTATGTATGTGTGTGTATCTGGTGAGCAAAGACCATTTCTTACACACAGTTTATTGCTCTGTGTGTGTTTGTTATGTAATTACAAACAATAATTCACCTCCTGTGTCAAAGAGTATGATAATAATTCTTGTGTATGTGTGTGAGACAGACACAGGTATGTAGACCAGTGGTACCCAACCTGTGGGTCAGGATCCCCACTAGGGGTTGCCAAAGCTTCACAGGGGGTCGCAAGGACTTCTTGATTTTAAGGCAGTGGTTCCCAACCTTTTTCCTTGTATAATATTTAAATTATAACAATAACAGTAGAGAACAACTGTTAAACTGTAAAAAGTAAAAAAAAAAATAAAAAAATTGAAGAAAGTTTGTGGAAGTTTGGTTGTTTTAACTGTGTACTCTGTTACTGCAGGACGATGAGATATAGGCCTTCTGTGTCATCATTTTATGTGTTCCTACATGTGAAAGTGAAAAATATCAGTAAAACTCATATCTGATGTGATATTCACAGGAAATAATCTCATCCAAATCGTTAATTTTACAAAAACTTTGTTTTACAGTTTATCAGTTGTTCTCTACTGTTTGTTGTTAATTGAATATAATATGAAATATACATAAAATATGTCTTTTGGTCAGAGGTCATCGGTTTAGTCAAGGATAGGAAAGGGGTCCCTTAAGGAAAAAGATAAAGAATCAGTGATGTAAACGTTGTCAGACATGTTGGTCATGCCAAAATGTCACTAGACACCTCCAGCCACAGACACACACACACACACACACACACACACACAACCCTCATCACATGAACTACTCAGCTGATTACAAGTGGACGATGTCTGGATGTGGGCTGGTTGAAGGGGATGGACCTTTGTATTATCTAGTAACCCTGAAACACATGATAGACCGCATGATGTTACACACTACATATCGAATGCTGGATTCGCCGAAACTGAGCGAGGTTTTAGAGGAAATGTTTCTCTTGTGCAATCACTGCTGACCACAACAAGGTCAAGATGAGGAGACACAGGTTAAACCATTTACCGCAAACAGAGACAGCTGGTTAGCGTCAGTCGGTTTTTATTCAAGCATGTATAATGGACTAGGTCCCATTTACACCAACATGATAGATAATAATGTCTTACTCATTCATCAGCGGTGAAAGGATCACTTCATATTTGGCTTCGTTTTCTCATAAAGGTAAACAAACAACGATATTTCCCACTTAGTGGAAGCCATTACTTATCATTTCCTGTTTCACAGACAATACTATTCCAGGAGTTGCTGACATTTTGAAGAGGAATTATGAAGCAGATCATCTTCCCCTGTTGACTTTCGAGTCATCTGCTTCAGTTATAATCGTGTGTGTGTGTGTGTGTGTGTGTGTGTGTGTGTCCAAAGTGCCTGAAAGTGAAACCCTATCAATGTTAGAAATTAATTATTATTATAATTAGAAATAAATAAGAGAGCTCAACAGTGACCGCCCACTTGTTTCCCATTCATTTACTTTACTGATGTTTCAGATAATCTTCATATAAAGACATTTAAAGGACCAGTGTGAAGGATTTAGTGGCATCTAGTGATGAAGTTGCGGATTGCAACTTGCGTCTGTATCTGACGAATGAAAACGGGTTGTAAAGTGTGTAGGGTAACTACGGGGCTGCAAAACATGCAAAATGCCCTCTACAGCTTGGTTCTTGGTCTGGGCAACTGTACAAACATGACAGACCTGCGGTGTCTCTACTGACACATTAATGTTTTATTGCTACAATGATTTATAGTGTATCTGTGTTAGTTAGTGTTATTTATTGTGCCCAGCCCAAAAGGGACTTATGAGACACCAAAAATACAGTTACAGTTCAACCAAAGAACACTGACTCCTGTCCCAAATCCTATAACTAAAATCTGCCACAACTCTCAAGTAGAAATATAACTACTGTAGCAAGCAAAGTGTTATATAACATTCTTACTTCTGCTGCTGGATTATCACATTGGACACAAGGACTGATATTCAGTTTCTGCCAATAAATCCTCCCTGAGTCTGGAACCAAGCCGACCAACTACATGAATCGTGACCATAAAACATTTTATTCGGGCGAAGAAAAAGACTGTGTAGCTGTTGTTACAAGGGTTTATGCTACAGCAATATAGGATATAGATGATTAACATTACGAGCACTAGCTGGTGTAGGTTGTTTATGACAAAAGTTAGCTTCAGGCACACACACACTCACACACACAAACTCTGGGCTAATCACTGCACCAACAGTCATTATAATAATAAGCATAAAGGGAAATTGGAAAAAGTGAGGCATAGATAGAAATGTGTGTTAAGAGCAAAAATTAAAGGAAAATGAAGGAGCTGATAAATAAAATGAGCTTGGGAAAGATAAACAAAGGAGTAAAATCAATTCAGTTTTAATTCATTTTATCAACAATAGAAAACATTTTAAAAGTGTTGCTTTTTATACTAACTGATTAAAGGGTAAAGAAGAAGTATAAAGCTGTACATTTCTTTTATTTTCTTTCATTTTGACCATTATTTAGCCGCCTTCCCAACATGGTAGCATGACATGATTACCAATGGATGCACTAGCTCATGTAGTTTCATATGCTAGCAGTATCTTCACGCTAGTTTTAATACAAAGCCAGCTACAGCCTCTGAAAGACAGTGTGGAGTGGAGGAGGTAAGGATAATGGTGTTATAATTTATGGACAGGACCACCCTCTTTTTACTTTCCCTTTACTGAACCTCGGCCAGCCCCACATCAGGCACGGAGGGTTAAACTATCAGGTCAAGTTGAAGGAAAACCCATCTTTTTACCATCAGCCCGGACCTGACGACCATGACGCACATTTCTTTATCAAATGTGAAATAGACAAAGCCTAAGACAGTACACAGGATGTTCGGCTTGAGGCTTGACAATGTTTCCCTTAACAATGAAACATGCTTAGGTTGTTTATACTGTTTTGGCCTCCTGCCTTCATCCTCAAGACGCGAGGAAGGGTGTTTTCCTTTTGTTAGTGTCTGCCGTTGGGTTCCTGTTACCAGAAAAATCGCACAACGGGCGGTGACGCAGGAGGGACTGTGGTTTCTTCAGGCTCCTGTACTCACTAAACATAGCAGAGGAAATGTTGCAGACACACTGACGTTGTTCGGGCAGGTACTCGACAGCAGCACACAATGCTCAATTAACAAGATGCAGACAGCTGAGTGAAAGAATACTGGCAATAAAACAAAGTCATTTCTATCTTTTCTCCCACCAAGGTATAGGAGTGTGGCATTAGGGATAGATGGGTAGAGTATTTAAAGACTGTGTACTTTAATGAGGGCTCATTATATCATTGTATTCCTGCATTTTCACCAAATTAAATGGGGAAATTAAAAATGAAGGAAATTAAAATGTTACGTTATATTAGCATGCTAACATGCTCATAATGACAATGCTAACATGTCACTGTTTAATAGATGCTATGTTTACCATGTTTAATATTTGGTTTAACAAACATTTTCTAGTACAAAACATAAAGTAGCTAGCTGAGGCTGAACGTCATTAGTTTTACAGGTAGCATAAAAATGCAAATAATAGCCCGAGCTTTTATTTGCTTCAATTATTGGACTTTATTTGGAACAGGTGCCTTTTTTTAAAAGGTAATAAGTAATTGTATCAGATTACATTTTTAAAGTAATCCTCCCAACCCTGGTGATTAGTTATAAGCTAAAATGTGATGGTAACAGTAAGCAGAGGTTAAAGTAATGATTAAAAACACTGCAATTGTGGCTCCAAATGGGAATTATTGGGAGGAGAAGTGTGGACCAGAAGGACCCCTTTCCGACCAGATTAGCTCTGGTTCTTGAACTGGTTCCATTCAACAAGAATCAACAATAAATAATCTTCTTATAAATAATAAACCTGCCTCCTGCATTAATGCTAGTCATAATGGTGGTGTTTGGAGAGCCTGATATTTTCTGAGGCGGTACAGAGTTTGAGAAACACTGCCTGAAAATACTTTTGTTCTGAGGAAAAAATACATTGAGATGGTTAATGCTTTATATTCTAAATATGAATTTAAACTGTTCTCTTTATATGATAATAGATTAAAGTAATAACTTTAATTTCTGTCAGAAGGTTTTTATGGTATGCCAGAGTGTGACATTAGACAAACATCCTTTCATCGAGTGAATTTTGGGCCTTGTATTCCCACAGAGGAGGTTTAGGTCAGAAAGAAGTCTGTGTCCTTTTTAACCTTCTCACGGGCACCATCTGCTGGTGGCAGTGCATGGCCTACTTTCTCCCAGTTACATAGCTGCAAATCCTCTGTCACATCTGGATACCAGAGGAATTCATGGCTCTGACATTAACAGACCAAAGTCTGGTTGGTTGTAAATGAACCCCAACTGAATTATTGGATAAAAAAGACTCATTCATGTTTTATTACTACTGATTTATTTGTATAAAAGTGCAGAATAAATACAGGTTATAAATAGTGAATAAATACATGAACCAAAAGAAGCTGTAGTCAATGTGGAATAAATATAAATCGTGCATTGTAAGATTTTGAAAATATGGATCCTGTTTCAGGTTCAGCAGAGTTTGTGGACTTTTTGTATGTACACACCTCAAAAGCAAAACTCAAATGACTAAAATCTAAATAATACATGTGATTTCTAATTGTCCATTGTAAATCTTTATCACAGAGTCATTAGCAGAAAGCCATTTTATCTCCAGTAGCTTGGCTGTCCAGTCCATCTCCTCCCAGCCAGTCCTCATCCAGCTCTCCCAGAATCTCATGCAGGGACAGCACTGGCAGCGGGGCGTGATGGACTACGGCTGGAAGTCCGGACTCCCTGCAGCTTTCCAAAGCAGCTCCGCTCCACGAATCCTCCGGCTGCGAGTACTGACCCTCTAGTGGTGGGCTGTTCTCCAGACCGGCATCCCAGTACCCGGAGTCAGGGGTGTCTGGAGTTGAGGAGTGGGAGGTGGAGTGGGGCATATACATCTGCTGCTCTGCTGATCCTGGATACATGAAGGCTGCCTGGTTGGAGCTGTAGTTTCTCATCTCCAGGGGAGAGTGGCTCCACAGAGGGGAGGTTTGGCTGCCAGGCTGGGACCAGAAGCCCCTCAAGGGTGGGCTGGAGCTGCTTCCCAGCGGCCTGCCCTGCTGGAGCCCGTACATAGAGCTGTGGTGTTCATGCTCCTCGATGGTGGAGTAGGCTGGAGGGCGCTGGTCATAGTAGCAGGCTTCCTCCATCTCTTCCTTCACCTGGGCTGGGTATGCTGGTGGAGGCCCCGGAGGCAGCAGATGGACTGAGCCAACCTGGGGGCTCCTGCCGGCTACAGCATGATGTGGGGGTAGAGCATCGTGGACTGGGCTATCAGACTGCCACAGAGCTTTCTTGGCTCCTTTGCACTTCAGGGTGCGAGCTCTTCTGTTCTGAAACCACACCTGGACAGGAAAGAAAGAAGAAAGGAGCTTAGATTCACATCAGGACGGATAAACAACACATTCTGTTCTGTTAATCATTTTCTGGGCAAACAGGCACCAGTGGATTCGGGGGGGGGGAGAGCAGATTTAGAAACGGTCAGCTGTCAGAGCCTGTTGTACAGTCTATCTGTCAGCTCAAACAAGATCCTGATAAAAACAGCTTGTGTCATCTTTAAAGATAAAGAAATAAAGTGATAGAGCGATAGCGGTATCTACAGTTCTATGCAGAATGCATTTGAAAACAGAGCCTTTTTATGATAAGAAACCGGAGTGCGAAATGCCTTAGAACACAGCTGTACATCTCTCTGTGTGTTTCTATCTACTGTATGTGGAAAGCATGTATGTATTTAACCTTAAACAAGTTTCTCCAAATAAAGATGATTTGTAACTCTAAACAACTCAGTTTAATTAATTTTTATTATTTAGTTAGTAGTTATTTATTTAGAATTCTGCTATGCGAGGTTTCCTGGGCGATTATGTACCTGGATGCGTGACTCGGGCAGGCCTGTGGTCTGGGACAGGTTCTCTCTGAGACTGATGCCAGGGTATGGGTCAGTCTCGAAGGTGGCGCGGAGGAGCTCCACGTGTTCTTTGGAGAAGCTGGTCCTCTTCCTGCGGCTGGCGCTGCGAGAGGAGCCGCTGCTGGAGGCCACAGGTCTGGCATCATCTGAGGGAAGAGGAGAGAGGACAGGTTCCACATCAGTCAAGATCCATAAAGACTTCTTTTATTATGAAGTTCTGCAGAGATTTATTTAGTAAGCTCTGAACCAGGCGTTCAATAAGTTTCTTCCTACAGCTTTATGCTTGTGAATCAAGAAAAACAAGGATGGTGTTGTTATCCAGCCAGTTATTTATAAAAAATAAAGTGCTCATTGGTGCAGAAGGAGCTGTATTTGACTTTACACAAAAAGTTATCACTTCTGGATATCTGTTATTTCTACAGCCACTCTTTCTTTCACTGCCAACCCTGGTTCTAATATTTGTAAATTCTTGATAAGTTGCCTTATATTTAATGCAAGTAGTGACAAACTGTTTGCACAACCTACCAGAGGAATCTGACACTATCTTTCTGAGTCCACATGCACATGGCATCATGCAAACACTCAACCATTTCATCCAGGGCTAGATCATGTAAACAGTTTGCTACAGATCATTAATAAATGAGGCAAAACTGACTACACAAAAGTTGTGTAATGTTTTTCTTAAATTGTACAGATTATAAAGCATTTCTTACCATTGCTGGAGTCCTTCCACATAGCAGCAGTTCAGTGAATGAAGCTCTGGAAAACTAAATGGATTTCTAATGGACTTCTGTTGTGACAGAGTTCAGTATGACAGTGTGTTCCGTCGCTGAGAGACTCTGGCTGTGTCTCCTGCTTGTGTCAGGGTACCTTTTATATTGATCACCTAAGACCCCCGGAAGGCCATGGTGAAGCCAGAACAGAGTGTTGGGGAGGCGGGGTCGTTTTCCTTTGAGGTTGGGAGGTTAACAGAAGCCCCCACCCCCACCCCAATCATTATCACCTAATCCCTATCAGAGTGGTGGCAAGGTCAATGGCAAATATGGCACATTACAGAATGATTTGGGGAGAGACAAAAGAAAGTCTCAATGTGATCGTTAGGCTCATCGATACCACTTTACTCAGAGATGACTTACATGTGATTGCTTGTGTTTTTGTGCTGCTGAATGTGTGAAATATCAAATAATATGCACACAGAGCCTTATCATCCATGATTTGTCTTTTTTACTACTATTTTAATAGTAACATTTTAAAATGTGTTTTTATGCTTTAAGTGCTTTGTTATTAATGTTTATTATTACAGTGCATATAAATATATATTATTCTAGTATTCATGGTACAGATTATCTAAAATGTGAAATACAGGATCAAAAGTAAGCAAAAACTTTAATTTAAAGAAAGATTACAACCTTATCTTTCTTAATATTTCAAGGCTGCCCTTTTATTCAAATGTGGCTACTGGGAGTCATGTGATTAGTGTTGGGCACAAACAATGATGATCAACCAACAATAGCCTTAAAGAAATATTTAACTTAGCAAAAAGCAAAAGGGCATTCTGAGCTGAAGCCTATCAGCGGCTCCTGTTCATATGCAGAGCAGCTCCTTGCTATCAGAGGAGGAAACACAAAGCTGGGTAATTATTCAGTGATGAAGTGGACGCAGCAGCCTCGCTACACTGAATCAAAGTGAGTGGCAAGCTTGTCAAATTGTGTAACATGTCCAGGCCTTGCCCGAGCTGTATGCAGATGCGGCAACCTTTAACCTCAATATGTCAACTCTGTTCTTCAGCCGTGTGATTGCTTAAATGAAATATCAAGTGTTTTATTTATTTACACTTGTTAATTTAGTGTAGTTTTTAATATATTTAGGCTATAAATGCTGTGGTTAACTTATGCTACATACTTCTCCCTATACAAATAAACAATAAAATAAATGTAATAAAATGTTTCAGGCACAGTGCATATTAATAAAGATTGCTGTATATATAAAGAATTAGCCAAAAGACTAGTTATCTGGCTATCTGTAGTCCCAGGTTGGCAGCCTGAATTCAAACAATGATGTCAAAACAACAATCATATTATATAATGTTAATTACAGTAAAAGCAGAACACAATATACACTATATATATATTGGTGTGGCTTAGTGTTGACCTAATGCTTTTCTGAGCATCAGCTAAATGTCAAATGCACTGAAAATGTAAATGCTAGTGCTAACGCTGTAATGCTAAAGTCAAATAGTACAAAAGGGCAAATGGTGTATTAGAAAACAATGCAGCTTGAAGTCTACCAGAATTATCTAAATGCAACAAAACAAGCTAAGAGCATTTCTTTTTATCTTTATCTGGACAACTTGCAGAATCAATGTCTCCATGTGTGGAGACGGCTCCTGAAAGTCCCACCAACTCTCTCTGTGCTTTACCCAAATCCTATCAGAGGTTAATGCACAGCACTCTGCCAGCATGTGGAAACCTCCAAACTCACTAATGTGAAACAATCATTGAGATGAATTCTGGATGTTCGTATTAAAAAAGAAACGTGTGCAACGTGTTTCATTATCTAAAATTAGTCTGATAAAATAAAAAAATGGGAAAGAGTCTTATCAATAAACCATTGCAGCAGATTAAACACTTGCTACGCTCAAGTTTACATACAATGAGTGATTAAAGATAACTAAACACTGGAGCAGCATGTACTGTAAGCGATTCAGCTAATGCAAAATCACTATGAAGAGCTGTGTTTAGTTGGATCCTGCCACTGTAGAAATCAGCTTATTAGAAAAAGCAAGAAGTCATCTGAGTGGTTTGATCTCTTCATGTGAACTGCAGTGTAGTTTAGTAGTAGTATAGTGAAGTATAATCTGGAACACTGCGTTGCTGCATTTGGTTGGGTTGTAATTTTCAAGTTAGTTTGGGATTAAGTTGGACAAACATTTAAAATAAAAATAATATATTTTTTAATTTTTAATAAGTTTTTTTAAAAGTTATTATTTGTTTGGCCTTTTATTGGTTTTATTAGATAGTGACAGCTGTAGATAGACAGGAAAGGGGTCAGAGAGAGAGGGGATGACACGCAGCAAAGGGCCACAGGTCGGTTGTAAAATGACAATGTGACAGACATATTTGTCCTTTTCTGACTCATTTTAAGGAACAAATAATTATTCTGCCATTGTGTGTGACATTTGGGGATTTTAATAACAGTTAATAATGGTTTTGGTTCTGTGTAGCAAGAGACATCAATGGAACATTATCAAATAGTAGAAAATAAATCCATATATATACATAATAACTCAGGTAACAGATTCATTAAGTTAATTAAGAGCATCCTCTCCAAATGCTGCATACCTTCTTATCCAAAATTATATTATTGTCATAATTTATCTAAAACACTAAAGGGGCTGAAAGTCTGATGACTCATTAATCATTTTCTAATGAATAAATGAGGCATTGGACACCGGTCCAATACAATGTCTGCATTAAATCACAAACAGGACTTTAAAGAGAGGGTCAGAGGCTAAATGCAGTGTATTTACACTGGGAAAAATAGCAAAATAAAAGTATACTCAGATGTTAGAATTTATACAAAACATATATTTTTGAGAGGTGATAATGGACACAATTGTTCTATGTTAGAAATAGAGTTACTGCTAACAGCTGGAGGTGAGAAAGCTAAATATAAAGTAGTAGCCAGCATTATATAGTGGAGAAATAGGAGATAGATGCAAAAAAATACAAAAACATTCACTCAAAACCTTTTATTTTTGAAAATAAGTAGCAGTTAAAGAATATAAAATATTTGGTAACTGAAAATATTATAATATTCTCCTGACAACAGTATAACTAACTCTTTTATTATCTTAAAATCTCTTTCAAACATGTATTTTTAATCTTTTCCCCCTGTCACTGAAGGACCGGTTGCACAAACACAACTACACAGTAGAAGCTCCACAAAGTAGCCACAAGGGGGCAGCATTACAATTAACTCTTATTATAGTGTATGTATGTTTATTACACATTTATGTAATACCCTAAATACCAATATAAAGCCCTCTTTTGTTTTTTAAATGAGTAAAAAATAATTTCCAATGTATTCCAGTAAAATAGCACCAAATATTTGTGGGGACATTTTCCACTTCTTGTTTTGATTGATTTATTTTTGCTCCTCATGGTTTTATTTTGCTCATTATTTATACCTGGAGCAGGGGTTGGCAACCTGTGGCTCCTCTCCAGTGGCTCCCTGTGGCTTTGACCAAAATATATATATGGAAATTAATAACATTTATTATAAAGTGATTCTTACATTTTACAATTGTAAAATTGTGACGCCATTAACACAGAATAATAATAAGAAGAAATGTTTTAACATCATCTAAAATGTTGGTCATACGTCCTGATCTGGCACCTTTTCCTCTATATTTTGCCAAACATCAGTAACAGTGACTACTAGTCTTTAATGCAGCTGTTAGACTATGGATTCAAAATCAGCCTAAAATAGCATTATAAGGCCCAAATATGTTGCAGCTCCATGCGGATTTATTTGTTTATTTTGGCCAAAAATGGCTCCTTTGATAGGTAAAAGGTTGCTGACCTCTGGCCTGGAGATTAAGATTTAAATGTTTCTATATGTTTTTATTTCTACAAACATTTCTCTTCATGTTGATTTCATATATGTACTCACCACAGGTTCCTGTATGTTTGTTATTGTGTGTTTAACAGTCATTTTTAAAAAGTACTCTAAGGTTATTCCTATTTTTTGCTTAAAAGACAAAATAATGGTGAGATTTCCACCCAGTGAAAGCATTTATTACCAGAGGCCATGATAATGAACAGTGAGATTAACTATGATTTCTCTCAGATTGAAGTGTTGTGTAATCTTAAAACGTGATCCTGCTAATAATCCCCATTTTGCCTAAACGTAACGTTAATATGATTACACCTCTTTGTGCAGTAACTTATTACAGCTACCTTTTACTGTATCCTAAAATCACGTTACATGTAATCCGTTACTCCCCCGGCGGGGCCGTCAGTTCGCCCTCTCGCCGTTGTTCTCACACGGTCACATTTGACAGCGGGACCCGCGCAGAGCAGCAGCAGCTATGGCTAAAAGTGATGGATGCGATTATTTTAAGAGAACCAGCCTGTTCTGGATCGTCAGCGTGACACTGGCGATGGGATATTTCACTGTAAGTTCAATAAATCTCCGATAATCGAAGTTAAATCAATCAAAATAAGCGTTTTTTATAATTTACCTGAATGTTACTGCCAAATGTCACCGTGTTGTGTTGCGTTTAATGTCCTCCGGGTCGTGTGTTATTATTATTATTCTAATAGAAGTTATTTTAAAACCCAAATAACACGACTGTTTCTTGTTATTTGTTTCTAAAATGACATTTAACATTTGATATAATGTGACAGTGTTTTATTAGAGCAGTCTTTGAGGCCATTACCAAATCCTCGTTGTTGTTATCTAATCTTATCAGGATGAACTGAGTCAGATAAACACAAACAACCTTTGAACAAAGTCCATTAGACGGCTTTGCGCTCCACTGCTCTGCTAACTTTTGCTAATAATTACGCCGATACCTTCTGTTCTCTTATGAAAGCAAACAGGTTGATGGATTTTGGGGTTTAGTTGTAGTTAATGTACGAGGCTTTAGTCAATAAAATATTATATGTAACTTTTTAAAGGGAGTTTGGTGTGATGCTCCATAGAAATGGTCACAGGCTCGTATACACAGTTAATGTAGACCTGTTTCTGACTGCAGTAAGACAATAACAAATACACAACGTGTTTTAAAATGAATTAATAATCACTAATAGTTAAATAAATCTATCTTTGGGTGACTGCAGCCTGGGCAGAGGGGCCCTGCCAACAATAAGCCTTTGTGTAGTTGCTCCTGTGACATGTCAGGTGGTGTGTGTACCTGACACAGGTGGACAGCAGAGGACAATGACACAACGGCACAATGCTGAACATTTTAGGGCTGTAAGGCTTGAAAATGCAGGTATTTTCTTTGTGTAGCCACAGAGTGATTTATAATGAGACAAGGCAATAAATCAATGTTAACACTGTGTTTTGGATTAGCTTTAAAATATCTTCAGCTTTAATATACGGTTATATAATTAGGTAAATTAGTATTATCATTGATATCAGAGAATCTAAAAATGCCACATCTATGAGTTATGGGCGGTAATCATTTTAAAATGGATATAAATGTGTATTTTATTACAAGTGCAAGCCCCAAAACAAACCTATAAATGACATTTGTAATATAAAACTGTACAATCACCAAGTACACGATGTGCAGAGGTTTGAAGCCAGAAAGCTTCTGAAGATACCTCCCGTCATAAATATAATCTTTAAACTTTAAAAAGAGATAAACGGATTAAAAAAGATTGGAAGAAGTGTTTGAATGTTCCCTGTTCAGAGTGTAACTTCTATCTGTAGAGATGTTATCAGGTTAACTGGCTGTAAGCTGAAGCAGATTCATGTAAAGATGGAGAAAGATCAGATGGAGTCAGATTCACATGACACCCGACGACATAAAGAACTAATTCTGCTCCTGAACTGCATCAAATTTAATTTCAGTGGCGTTCGTATCGCACAATGCGGCTGGCGTTAGTGCTCCACACAGCGGTTACTGTCCTGATCCACAGAGCCATTCATAAACAGCAAATATAACACAGTTATTATTGTCAGTGTAATTGATCTGTAATCTGATTGAACCAGCAGCTCACTGCCTGACTGAAGACCGTTCATGCCAACCGGCCGGAGTTTCCACTATTAAACCATGAACTGTGCGGTGGATTATTACAGTTACAGCACAAACAGTCCTTTGACTTAAAGGTCATTTTAGGGTTGAAGAAGTTATGTTTACAAAAGGCTTTTTACTCTCTCTCAGCACATGTGTATGTGTATGTGTTGACCTCCTCTGTGTTTTACAGTGCACTGTGTTTGCACCAGAGGTAATCCCGTTTCAGCACCTCGGTCCGTTTGGCACCTTCTGCAGATACCTTGTGGACAACTATGCTGACATTATGTACAAAGGGTAAGTGTCTGTGTCTCCTGCTGGCAAAGGAAATATTCTTCTTGATTACTTTCTGAATCTGGAGGACGCCAATTCTCACAAACTCTGGTAAACGTGTTGAGATTTTCTTTATTAGAAGAAAAGATAATCACTTCTCTTCTCAGCATCGGTCAGCCAACGATGCGTGAAGCACCCTGAAATACACTGTTTAATCAACGGCAGCCTTAATGGTTTTTGACCGTTTACAGATCGTTACCGCCACTTCCAACCGGCAGAGCACTTTGCTAATGAGTCGTCTGCGTCACATGACTGCTGTAGCACCATTAGGATATTAAGACAGCAATCAGAAGATGATGTTCTGTTGGTGTTTAAGTCATGTGACATAGAGGACAGGGTTTTCTAAGAAGGGGGCTAAGCTGGAGGGCGTCATTCAGTCTTTGGTGGTTTGATATTTGCCAAGTGGTTAATCATCTGTTTAGGTTGTCATGTGACTGGAAGTACCCAGACTGCTCTGCTGTCTGAATTTAGAGCTAAAGTCATTATTCCTCAGGGATTATGGGTAAATTATCAGTATGTGGGGGTTAATGCCTACAGTATGTCATTTCTGCCACTAGGGGCTCTCTCACATCAAAACAATAACAAAACTGACGTGACGTGAAGTACCGTCGGATCATGGAAGTCTTTACCACCATTGTGTCACTGCAGTCAGCGTCTCCTGGCTAGGATTCCTTCAGTGTTCAGGATTTTTTCTGGGAAGCCAAGTAATCCGCAGAAATCTCCTCCTCTCCAAAACAAACAGACCGTGAGATTAAAATCGGTAAAAACACTGAATAAAGCAGTTTCACCTTAAAAATCTGTGTTTCTCTGATGCTGTTCGGTGCTGCTAACGATAGCTCTTTTCCCTGATAACTTAAGATCCATACATCTGATGACTAAAATCCTTCCTCCGGTTATAATACATAGTCAATAATGACCAAGAACTAAAAAAATGTATGTTAAAATTTGCCTTAAAACAGGATAAAAAGTCAGTTTATGACAGCGTCTGGCAGATAAACACAACGCATGCACAAAGGGGATATGATGCCATTGATAGACTGACGACACCATTACCTGAATGTTACTTATTATATCTTTAACGTTAACAGACAACAGGTATACAGTATAATTTTGTAGTCTGGCCAACTTGTAAAATTGGCATTCATTGGTCTTTGATACCGTCACAGGTCACATTAGCTGTAATATCAATAGCCGTGGTGATAAACAAAACGCTACATGTGTTCTTGACGCACTTACCTTTAGTTATCCTTTGTCGCTTGCTTCTCGTCTTGTTGTTATTGTAGACTGCAGAATGTCGTTGTCTTAGTGAGTTGTGTTAGTACTTGCGCATTGTTTAAATTGTATCCAATTGTTTGGTGCCATTTAACGGTCTATATTGTGCCATCTGCGGTAAGAAACATTGCATCTCTCTTCGCTCCAAACATGTCACCGCCCCCTATGGCGTGGCAAACTAGCACCCAAACAATATAAACTACTATTTCAAAAAGAAACCAAAAATCATCCACCTTGTCTCCAACATTAGTAAAAAAAAAACAACAAAAAAAAAACAGTACAGAGTGAGGTTATCTTCTCACTGAACTTGTGTGTCTGTCCACCTAAATCTTTATAAAATCATCAGCTGAGACACGTAACTATCAAACCTAATAGATCACTTAAGGCAACAGGCCAACGCTGTCTGTCAGTATCAGCTGCCTTACAATGACATCATGAAAGCCAATCTCTCTGTGTTACATTCATTACATCAATAAATCTACTTTTTCTTGATTTCCTGTGTACGCTATCCCAAAGGGAGTCGACACAAACAGGCTGCCAGCCACACAACTGGAGTCAATTTACCTTAATGTTTCTCTGCTCTACAACTTTAATTAAGACTTAAAGCGTGACAACTGAAATACTGTTCAACTCTCTAATAGCCTGGAACACCCCGAAGTTTAGATTACCAAAATATGTCATCACCTTGTAATTAGCCTGAGCTGAGCCAAAATAGACGCATGTGGCTGTGGCTGAGGCATCTTTATATCAGTCATATGGGAAAACAACTATAAAGAGAAAGAGTGGGAATTTCATATCATATTTAATTTTAAAAACTGTTTTTATACTGTGATATGCTGCTCTTTCTTCTGCAGGCTGAAGTTGCAGCTGTACGTGTTTTATATTCTTTCATCTGGAGAAAAAGAGGTACTCTTACAGCAAGGTGTCGTCATATAAGAGCCAAAGCCGAGCTGAGTGATGAAAACACACTGTAACAGTGACTCATATATAAATCACCAATGGCAATATCTATGTTGAATTTGGCAGCTTTTTTTGGAGGACAAAAGAGCTAAGTTGTAAGCTTTTTTGTGCCTAACCTGGCTCTTACAAAGGGGAGATCCAAACACCAATTAGTACAGTAAATGTATTTACAGAGATCATACAAATGTAAAAACTAGGGTATAGCAAAGCAGCAGGCAGGATAAGATCAGTAGAGTCAAATCTACAAAATATAACAAGTGCAAAAGATGCAATTTTGAGTATTTCACAGGATTAAACAAAGGTTTCAACATATTTACAGGAACATAAGTGACATGAACAAATAATCTGACAGTTTAGTTTGAGACAACCACAATATATCTATTTGTTCATTGTTTTCCAAAGTATTTCGTTTTTGTTATTTTCAAATTTTCATCCAAGAATGCTTGGAGCATAACATCTTGAAAATATAAAATTGCACAGCACATTTTGGATTTTAAACTTCTCCTTATTTTCCATTTGTAATATTTGGATTTTAAGTTCTTCTGAATAACCAGACACGCACAATATGACGTGATCTAACTACATGGCTTGTGTATTACCTTTTTTGTATAGTTGGAAACAGATTTCTCAATACCGAGTTAACTTTTTCAAAACTCTTCACACAGTCAGCATTACAGGAGTCAATGTGGACTAAGCTATGGATCACATTTCAACTCTCAACCACCACCAAAACTCTGTATTTACACCCCATTTGCATACACATACTATTGTAAAAACTTAAATGTATGTTTAATACCTATAAAACCCTAAGAGAACATTGCTGTAATTTAGAATGAGATGTTTGAGTTTAGTTAGGCAGTGGCTATAATTTCGAATAGCCACTATATTGAAAATCCTTCTAAATGGAATTCAAACAATCAAGTAGAAGTAACAGATGCAACTGGACAAGAAGTTGCAATCATATGATGTGCCGAATTGATCACTATATTATAGTGATCAATTCACTATATTATAGTGATCAATTCGGCACATCA